CTAACAGTTTGTGTCCTTTATAAAGTTTATATCTCTGCTACCTGGCATTACATTTTATAACACACACAGCCCGGCCCAACAAGGTCTCATTTATGTCAGATCCAGCCCTCGTAACAAATGAGTTCGACACCCCTGCTCTAGCCATTTCTTTTCTCTCTTTTTTTGTATTTTGTGTGTGTGCGTGTGTGCTTGTGAGCCTGGAAGTCTTGGCGAGTTCTGGCGATCCCTAGTTGGGCTAAGATGTTTTCAGAGAGGTGGCTTGATATTGCCTGCCTCTGCGTCCTGGCCCTGGTATTCTTTGGAGGTCGCCCTTCCAAGGACTTGCCAGGGTCGGCCCTACTTAGCTTCCGAGATCTGACGAGATCAGGTTTGCCTGGGTTACCCAGGTCAGGGCACCATTTCCTTTCTGTTTCTTGACAGCTTCCACCACACACACACATCACTGTGTGCACCCCCTCGCCTGAGCAGCCTCCTGCCTTGCCTCTGTCGCACCATGGGCTGGGTAAGAGTCCTGGCCGGGCCTGTTCCAGCCCACAAGCCTTATGTCTGACACCCCTATGACAGAGGTTTACAAAATGATGTCTGGGATAGAGAAGGTAGAGACAGAAGTATTTTCCTCCCTTTCTCACAAGACAAGAACTTGTGGGTACTCCCATGAAATTCATGAGCAGTAGGCTTAGAACGGATAAAAGGAAGTCCAAGAGGAGTGAACACATGGAATTCACTGCCGCAGGAAGTGGTGGTGGATATAAGTATACACAGCTTCAAGAAGAGATTAGATAAACATACGGAGCAGAGGTCCATCAGTGGCTATTAGCCACAAGTGGTTAAGATGCTGAACTGCAGACCTCAAGCTCTTTCAGCTCTTGTGGGAGAGATCCTCCTCGCAGGGCATTGGAAGCTGAGCGGGGCCACTTGCCACCTCATTCAGTTCTGTTGACCTAAAGAGGAAGAGGAAGAAGAAGAGATTGGATTTATACCCCGCCCTTCACTACCCGAAGGAGTCTCAGAGTAGCTTATGATCTCCCTTCCCCTCCCCACAACAGACACCCTGTGAGGTAGGTGGGGCTGAGAGAGCTCTTTCGAGGATTGCTCCTGAGAGAACAGCTCTGAAAGAACTTGTAACTGACCCAAGGTCACACCAGCAGCTGCATGTGGAGGTGTGGGGAACCAAACCCAGTTCTCCCAGATGAGAGTCCAGGATTCTTACCACTACACCAAACTGGCCCTTGAGCAGAGAGTGCCCTCTCCAAGCCTTGCTCAGCCAAAGATCAGTTCCCTTATTTAAAAAATGGCAGCTTTGGAGGGTAGACTCTGTGGCACTGTACCCCTCTCAGGTCCCTCTTCCCAAACCCTGCCCCTCCAGGATCCACCCCCCAAAACCTTCAGGAATTTCCCAACCCACAGTTGGCGACCCGTAGCCCCAGAGCCCCCAATGTCTGTTAAGGATTGGCCTAGCAGCATTAATGCTCCAAGCCCAGAACACAGCTCCTGTCAAAAGCGCCTACAAAGGTCTGGCTTTTCATGCCTCCCAGTCACTTTTGAGCAAAAGCTCTGCTCTTCCTTGAAAGGACACCTTCCAGTCTCAAAACAGGATAGGTTTAACTGAGACTTTCTAGAGTTAGGGATAAAAGATAAGGTGTTCCTCAGTCTCTGGGGATATCTGTCTTTCTGAAGATGCCAGCTGGGAAGGCACCCCCTGCAGCAAGAGCTGGTTCTGAAGCCATCACAGATGTCTAGAAGGTCTGCAGAAATCTCCCATCGCACCCACCATTTCCCCGGCCACAGTCACAGCACAGGCATTCGGGCAATGTTAGGGTCCCATTGGGGGATCCTGTTCTGCCCAGTCTGAATACCCTCCCCCTCATTCACCCAAGGCTGGATGCAGGGAATGTGTCTCCAACCAGGCCAGGCTGGAAGGCTGCAGGTGCTTAGCTAAGTATCAGGAGGGTGGGCCCTCACTTCCCCCAGAGCTCAGAGATGCAAATGGGCAGTCTCCTCTTTCAGGGCTTTCTGGGGATCTTCAGCTGAAGTTCTGCTGTGTCCTGGTTTCCCTCCCCATGCACAGGCAGGGGCAGGGTCTTGGCAGGCCTTTTCCTGAGACACTCTCCAAGTCAGGCAGGGAAGGAAGGTTCTCCAACTGCAGAATGGCCAGAAGATGCAGGGATGGTCACGCAGTCCGACCTGCATCTATCTGTCTAAGAACACTTTCACCCCACCCCATCCTCGAAGGAGAGCAGGGTGATGGACATTATTCTCCCTTCCTTCGTTTGATCCTCAAAACAAACCCATGAGGTAGGCTAGAACACGGAAAAGAGTGACTGCCGCAAAGACACTCAGCAAATGTCATGTCATGGTGGAAGGCGGATTTGAACCCAGATCACCCTCCCCCATTAACCTTCTGGCGTGAAGCTAAACAACACGAAGTTAAACAACATTGGTGGCATGAAGTCAAACATGAGATCAGGCAGAAATTAAAGGGACAGCTAGAGGGGCCCTTTCAAAGCCTCCACAAGGACTGGCTCCCCTGTCCCGCTCCCCCTCAGGTTGTGAGCCTGATGTGACGCAGAGACAGTCCAATCAGGACTGGGCATTGGGCCTGTTTTCCTCCCACCCAACTAGTCCATAGGGCCACGTGAGAAGGGCTGCGCTCTGGGGAGCAGGAACCACCCCCACCCACCCACCATGAGCTCTAAGAGGGTATCAGAAGTGCCCAGAGGGGGGGATGTTGGAGGCCCTGTGGCCAGACCTTGAGCCCTACTAGAGGGTCCTCCTGAGGACACGGAGTGTGTCCCCTTGGGAAAGAAACGGGGGGGACACAAACCAAGGGTGAGGAATGGTACACAGGCCTCTGTGCCGGCCTTTGAGAAGAAGTGGGGTGCCAGGCCACAAATGCCCATGGGCACAAGAGAAGGGAGCTGAACCAAGCAAGGTCTGCCTCCCTTGAGCTCCTGACACCCTCTGATGGTCTTCAGAGTCCTGGGCAGGTAACCAGCATCCACCCATCTGAATCTGGAACCTTCCCTCCAATGGCCGCCTCCAGCTGGTGCTGTGGAAGGCCAGCAAAGGCATTTCCCCCCTAAATAATCACAGGAACGGGGGCCAGAGGACTGGGGTGGTCAGAATTAAAAACGACCCTCCAAATATGTCCCCTGAGCTGCAGCATTTATGAGGGGGTGTTATTGAGCTCCAGGCCAAGAAAAACTTCAACTGTCCCTTTCCGCCTATTAGACCGCTTGGAACTATGGTTGCCAAGTCCAGGCTTGAAAATTCCTGGAAATTTAGGGGTTGAGCCTGGAGAGGGCAATGTCTGGGAAAGCAAGGGACCTGAGCAGGGCATTGTGCCATAGAGCCCACCTTCTAAAACGGCTGTTTTCTGCAGGGGAACAAGGGATGCCAACCCCCAGGTGGGACCTGGGGATCGGCCAAAATGACAGCTCATCTACAAGTGACAGAGATCTGTTTCCCCTGCAGAAAATGGATGCTTTGGGGGAGGGGCGGACTCTATGGCATTGCACCCCACTGAGGCCCCCGCCCGTCCCCAAATCTGCAAGACTTTCCCAACCTGGAGCTGGCAATTCCATCCCCTGTCCCCCACTGGTAGCTGGGAGGACCTGGCCACCCTCAGGGGAACTGACCTCTGTAGTCTAGACACATCAATACTAACCCCAGGAGATCTCCAGGCCTCAGCTGGAGGCTGACAACCAGAGCCCCATTCCTTCAGGTTGCAAGCCTGACCTGTGGCTTTGCAGTGAGCAAATATAGCCAGACCAGAGATGCTGCTGGTGTCCCTGGAGAACAATCCACCCCACTCCCCATGAGCCATAAAAGGGCATCAGAAGTGCAGAGATCAGGGGAAGTTGGAGGCCCCCTGGCCAGAACTTGGACAACAGGACATGGGTTTTGAGGCCTTTGGAGAGAAATTGTGGGCCAAAAGAAGCACAAACTGTGAGGATTAGTATCCAGGTCTCCCCTTACCTTTGAGAAGGGGCCAGGAACCTCCGCAAGACAGGGGAGAAGCCAGTGAACTCCAGCGACGTCTGCCTCTTTTGAGCGCCTAAAGCCCCGCCCGAAACCCAACCCAACCCAACCCTCTTGCTTACTTAGACATTTAAAGGGACCCTTCCAGACCAGTGCCTCTGTTCAGTGGGGAGAAAAGCGGACATAATGCTTCAAAGCAGGGCTATTTTGGGGCAGGAAGGCACAGGCTGGCTCCCAAGTTGGCCACGCCCAGCAGGAACTCATTAGCATAATAGGCCACACCCAACAGCAGAAACTCATTAGGATTGGCTACATTTGGGGTGTGTGGCCTAACATGCAAAGGAGTTCCTGCTACCAAAAAAGGCCCTGGGTTTTGACAACAAACAAGGTAAACAGAATAACAAGCAAAAGGTGGGTGTGGCTGGATAACCACACTTCTGGTAACACGTGGGTGTGGCCTAATGTGCTAATGAGCTGTGCTGTCAGGGGTGTGGCCCAATATGCTGATGAGTCCCTGCTGTTGGGTGTGGCCTATTATGCTAATGAGTTCCTGCTGGGCTTTTTCTACATAAAGAGCTCTGCTTTAAAGGCACACTTCCAAGGGGGGGAAGGAGGAAGCCCTTGCGCTGATCGCCCAGCGGCAAAGCTCCGAAATCACCAGGGTTTCACGTAGTAATTGAAAGGCCCCCTCCAGGCCTGGGGGACGAAGAAAAACTGCAACAGCCGCGGGAGGGGGGGGGGAGCGAAAGGTTCCCTCGCCTC